ATATATATATATGCATGTACTAGTGCATGTTATCAGTTAATTCTGATAACATGCACAACAGGTGATGGCAAACCTTTTTTTATAACGCTCAATTAGTGCTGTGTTCATTGTTTAGAGTCAAGAGGGTAGGATGTACAATAAACAACTTTTTTTTTTCTCAGTGACAAGGTTCCTAGCAGCTCTGGAAATCAGGGAAAACCTACAAAATTAGTTTCACATTTTTCAGACAGAGACTATTACTACTACTATCCGTTCAGTCATGGTTGATTCTCGGTAACTCCTTGGATCAACGTTCTCCATCCTTGACGATCATAAACAGCTTCCTTTATTTCGGCAACTTTTAGGTTTGTATCCTGTTTAATGGTGTCAAGCCATTGAGTTCTTGGTCAGCCTTGTCCTCTACGTCCGCTTACCATTCCGAGCATGATGTCTTTCTCCAAGGAGCGGCTTCTCATCACGTGGCCCAAGTAGGCTAATCACTCTTTGGTGATTCTGGCTTCTAAAGAGAGGTTTGTTTGATCCGCTCCAGGACTTCGAGATTGGTGATACGTGCTGTCCATAAAATTCATAGGAGTCTTCTCCAACACCATAGCTCAAAAGCATAATTTTTTTTCCTGTCTGATTTCTTTGTGGTCCATTTTTCGCTTCCATATATCACAGTTGGAAACACATTTGCGTTGACTAATCTGCATTTAGTTTGGAGGCTGATGTCTCTGCTCACCCAAATTTTGTTCATGGATATCATCGCATCATGCCCTACTGCTAATCTACGTTTGATTTCAGGCGTGCAGTTGCCGTTGTAGTCTATGTTGGAGCCAAGGAACGTAAAATTATCTGCCACTTCAATCTCTTTATCATTCATTTTAATGCTGATGTTCTTATTTACAGCTGTGGTCATGATTTTGGTTTTTTAGATATTCAGATGCAGGCCAGTTTTCTCGCTTTCGTCCTTTACTTTCATGAGCAATTGTTCCAGGTTTTTCTTACTTTCTGCAATTAGAGTGGTATCGTTGGCATATCTGAGGTTATTGATGTTTCTTCCTCCAATTTTTATGCCGATGTTCATTTCTTCCAGTCCTGCCCTGCGCATGATCATCTCGGTATAGAGGTTGAAGCTTAGGGGTGACAGAATGCATCCTTGTTGGGTTCCTTTACTGATCTTGAGCCCATCAGTGTCACCATATGTTGTTCTTACTGTGGCTTCTTTGTTGTGATATTGTGATGTGCTTAGGCAGGACTGATCAGTAGAGGCAAGGAGACTGATCGAGGACAGGTGTGTTCAATCAGTTGAGGAGCAGCACACTAGATAAAGGTTTCTCAAACAAATTGTGAGGGGAGAGCTTTTGCAGTGGTTGTGGCAGCACCCTTTTGGAGGGAGGGTGTCGTTTGCAGTCATTTAGGGCTGCCGGCGACGAAGACAGCAAGACAGGTGGTTATGTGTTCCTGTGTCAGGAGGGGAGGCTGGGTGCCTCCTTTAGACAGTTAGGGCTGGGTTTTAGTGGGGTGCAGTCACCACCTTGGACTCCTGCTTCTGTTCCTGTGAGCTGCTGTTCCTGCCACCTGCTCTGATCTGGTGTGGACCCAATCCAGGAGGTCTGATTGTTGTCCAGCTAAGTCAATCCCCAGGGGTGTTGGACGACATCACAAGCTTAGACCCTGGGGAGGGGTCTTGTCGCTGAGTGAGCTAAGTGAACAAGTGAACTTGTCTAACCTTTTATTATAGGCCTTCCTTTTTAGCTTGGGGTGGGGATCTTTTTAGGAGTAGATGCATAAATTAAGACTATTTTCATAATCTTCTGGTGTGTGGTGATTGTTTGATGGTTCTGACATTCTAGGCAAGATCTTCTGCCTGTTTGACCCACAAATTTATTACACTGGTGCCAGGATTGGGATCATACAATTTTAGAATGTCGGAACCTGAAAATAATCCACCTTCTCCATCAGAGCCAAGCACTAGTCAGTCTTTAGCTGTAACACCTAAACCAGTCTTTATGCCAGAAAGTTTTTCAGGAGTAGGGCGTGAATGGTCGGATTGGGCTGAGCAATTTGAGATGGCAGCAGATGTTAATAATTGGGATAATTCACTCATATTAAAGTTCATGTGCCTTCTATTTTGTGGTAGAGCTCGTGAAGTGTATAGTGGGTTGTCTAAAACAGCTAAAGCAAATTACACCTTGTTAAAAGCAGATGGGTAGATGTTTAAATCCATGTGATAGTGATGACTGGAATAAAGCTAATTTTTCTGCCAGGAGGAGATTGCATAATGAGAGTGTTAGAGAGTTTGGGCTCTCCCTTCGGCGGTTGGTAGTTAAAGCCTATTCTTAAGCCAGAAGAAGCACCAGAACCAGAACCTAACAACATACGGAATGACAGTGGTCATTCCATATGTTCAGGGAGTATCAGAGAAACTGAGACGTTTATTTTCTAAACACAACGTCCCAGTGGCTTTTAAACCCCAAAATACATTACGGCAAAGACTGGTTCATCTCAAAGATCTGCCACAAACAGAGTAATGTTGTGTATGCTGTTCAGTGTCAGGAGGGTGATCAGTCTTACATCGGGGAAACTAAACAGCCACTGGCCAAAAGGATGGCCCAGCACGGAAGATCAACATCATCAGGCCAGGATTCTGCGGTCTACACTCATCTCCAGGCCAGCGGTCACTCTTTCAGGGATGAAGATGTTCACATCCTGGATAGAGAGGAACGATGGTTTGAAAGAGGAGTAAAGGAGGCCATCTTTGTGAAAAGAAATCGTCCATCATTAAACAGTGGTGGAGCCTCCGGGTTCAACTGTCCCCCTCTTACAATGCTGTGATTGCTAGTATCACTCAGCCCTCTGTGAATAGTAAACAGCCATCAGTGTGCTAATGATCCATCGTTAGGCTGATGGTCCTCCTTCATCATGTGAGCAGCTAGTTTTGGCTGTCAGCAGCAAACTGGTTGATCCACTCTGAGAAGGTGCTCTTTATAAGACTGAGCTGAATACAGCTCCTCAGACTGAGGAAGTCTTTCGGATGAAAGACGAAACATTTTTACAATTTTTTTGTTTTGTTTTGGTTTTTTTTTTGGACTGTCCAGATGACCAGATTTAACTTTTTTAGATATCTGGACTGATACGACTTACAGTGCGGTGTGACAGGTACGGCGAATACTGTACTTTGAAAAACCGTGAAAGAGCAAGTCCGCGAACGTCGAACCGCAAAGTATTGAGGGACTACTGTATATGTGCAGTTATAATAATCCTGTTTTAACCCTGTTTTTTTGTTGCTGTTGTTTTTCTGTTTTTTCTCTACTTTAGTGGACCATTTGCCTGACAAGAAGACCTACAAAAGGAAGCTTAAAAAGTCTTTTGAAATAGACTTTAGTGATGAAGTCAACTTTGACACTTACTTCTGCACCACAATGGTAAAACAACCAAAACACTCACCAAATTTTTTAAATGTTCTCTTTTTTTCTGTTTAAGCAGCCATCTGACTTGAGGGATTATTTATTTATTTATTTTTCCCCTGGGTGAAACTCCTATCTTCACTTAGTCATTTTGGTTACCATTTATATTTTAGTTCATTTTTACAGACCTCCACCTGGGAGGTCGTGGGTAGGTGGGCAGAGTACTTCGAAGACCTCCTCAGTCCCACCAGCACATCTTCCCCCGAGGAAGCAGAGCCTGAGGACTTTGGGTCGGACTCTCCGATCTCTGGTGCTGAGGTCACTTAGGTGGTGACAAAGCTCCTCTGTGGCAGGGCCTCGGGGTTGTATGAGATTCGCCCCGAGTTCCTTAAGGCTCTGGATGTTGTGGGTTTGTGTTGGCTTACACGACTCTACAATTCTACGTGGACTTCGGGGGCAGTTCCCCTGGATTGGCAGACTGGGATGGTGGTCCCCCTATTCACAAAGTGGGACCATAGTGTGTTCGAACTACAGGGAGGGTCTGTCCAATAGTCGAACCTCGGATTCAGGAGGAGCAGTGTGGTTTTCGTCCTGGTCATGGAACACTGGACCAGCTCTACACAGAGCAGCTCTAAATCCGAGGCCATTGTCTTGAGCCGGAAAAGGGTAGAGTGCCCTCTCCGGGTCGGGGAGAAGGTCCTGCCCCAAGTGGAGGAATTTAAGTATCTCAGGGTCTTGTTCATGAATGAGAGAAAAATGGAGTTAGAGATCGATAGGTGGATAGGTGTGGAGTCTGCAATGAAGCGGGTGCTGTACCAGTCTTTCATGGTGAAGAGAGAGCTGAGTCCAAAGGCAAAATTCTCAATTTACCCGTCGATCTACGTTCCTACCTTAATCTATGGTCATGAGCTTTGTGTTGTGACCGAAAGAATGAGATCTTGGATACGAGCAGCCGAAATGAGTTTTCTTTGCAGGGTGTCTGTGCTCTCCCTTAAAGGTAGGGTGAGAAGCTCGGTCATCCGGGAGGGACTCAGAGTAGAGCCGCTGCTTCTCTACGTCGAGAGGAACCAGTTGAGGTGGCTCGGGCATCTATTTAGGATGCCTCCCTGGTAGGAATGCGCGATATAAACGGTACACGGTAGGAACGATAGAAATTTAGCCTACGATAGAGATCTGTCTTCTACCGGCTAACTGCAGTAATGCTGTGTCTGAAGTAAAATCAGAGTTGTCAGTTTAATCGTTACTTTTTTTTGCTGAAAACTGCGCAAGTGGTGTTAAAGTCATTTCTTCAAGGGCTAAGTAGCGAAGCTACAAGCTAACTACAGCCGGCTTGCCGTAGTGTTGCCGTATTTTGGCTCATGCTCAAAATGCTGAGTTCCGTCTAAAGTTTTTTGTTTTTTTTCCGTCGAAAGTTAAAGTAAGCGTTGGTCAGCTTTAGAGAAACCTGCTCTCTGATCTGTAAAATAATGCTGTGTTGTGTGATTTTACTGCGAGACCCTCTGGTCAAAGCCACAGACTCATTTTGTGTCAGCTCTCCATTAAAACAGAATAGAGGGTTGGAGGGTGAAGTGTTTCAGTGTAAAATGCTGCTCTGTTGCTGTTCGTTTCTTAAGTTAATAAGACTGGAAACTGTTAAGAGTTAACAACATATTCTTTTGTTTAAAACATATGGCTAAAACTACATTTGATATATTTTGCACTGTTATGCACTACAATAAATAAGCCTAATACTCGATTTGTTTATTATTTAAAAACTCTCTGGACCTAGTAGTGGAATTTTCCTAATTCAAAATATATGATGGCAAAAGGACACCCTATGCTTTTTTTTAGCAAGTTTTATACCAAAAACATATCGCAATATATATCGTTATCGCCACCCTTCACAATACATATTGTGATATGAATTTTATGCCATATTCCTACTCCCTGGTGAGGAGTTCCAGACACGTCCCACCGGGAGGAGACTCAGGACACTCTGGAGGGACTATGTTTCTCGGCTGGCCTGGGAACGCTTTGGGATTCCCCTTGAGGAGCTGTCCCAAATGGCTTGGGAGAGGGAAGTGTGGACCTCCCTACTTAGGCTGTTACCCCCGCAACCCGACCCCAGATAAGTGGAAGAAAACTGATGGAAGGATCTACGGCTGAAACGATTCCTCAAATAATTAGAGTACCTCGATTACAAAAAATCCTCAAGGCACATTTATCTGTCTCGAAGCTTCGTTAAACTACTGTTTTTTTTTTCAGCCTATAAGTCACAGTTTTTTGTATAATTTACATACCCTGGGACTTATAGGCCTAAGTGATATATTTATGGATTTTTTTTCTCATATTTATAAACCATTTTTTGGCTGAGATATGACCGTTTTCACTCATTCTGACTGAATTTTTTTTAGCAGTACCACTTTCAGCCACTTGATGGCAGCAGAGTAGTAATTGATATATGGCATGCTGTTACATCATGTAATAAGTAAACGTGGCTGCAATGACAAATTCAAAACGGTTCAAGACAAAAACAACTGGACTTTATTTGTTATACTTTATACTTTCTTGTTTTTTTCTTGAATTTTTTTTTATTTACCCTGTCCTGGATGACTGAGAATCTTCACCAGCTATTGATGACTCAATTGGCCTGCCTTAGTCTCCCCACCTTCGTTCTGCTCTCTGCTTGGAACCATCAAAGCAGCTGCACTGCCCCTGCGAACTGCAGCTAATTTGACCATTAAAGTGCATTTATTAAGCAAATGTTAGACACACCTTTGCTATAATTTCGAGCAAACAAATAATTGTTTAAGTGCTTTTCTGGTTAAATTTTTTACAGCGACTCGTCGCGTGCACACGTTTACTTCCGCTAATCGGGGTTTGAAATATAGCTGATTTGACCATAAAAGTGCATTTATTAAGCAAACGTTAGATTGATACACACATTTAATATAATTTCGAGCAACCAATTGTTTTGAGGCATTTATCTTGTTGAATTGCACATTGACTCATCGCGTGCACGCGTTTACTTCCACATATCAGTTTTTGAAATACAGTTATTTTGATCATCAAAGTGCATTTATTAAGCAAACGTTAGAGTGAGACACATTTACTATAATTTTGAGCGAATAAATAATCGTTTTTAAGTGTTAATCTTGTTAAATTCTTATTAAAGTCCTCCCGTGCACGCTCCCACGGCCGGATTTTTGTCAGCCCATCGGTTTTGGCACAACACCGGTCCACATTTCTAGGTTGTCAGCGGTGACACGTAACAAACGTGACGCATAATGGATGCAACGTATATGGCGAAACTGCATATTTATGGATTTTTCCACTTTATTAGATAAATATGGACTGATGCGACTTATAGGATGGAGCGACGGTTACGGCGGAAATTCCAGTATTCAGAGCATTGTGGTATAGCTGGAAGGTTTTTGTGTTGCACACCACTACCGCTTCCGCTAGCGCTAATGCTTCTGCTAATGCGTATGTGCTAAGTTTGTAGCTATGGAGGGAATGGCCGAAGAGCTCTAAAAACAACAAAAACTGTCAAAAGTTTGGGAACATTTTAGACTAAACAGAAAATACAACACAGCTCATTGAATCTACTACAAAGTAGAATTTGAGTAACCACAACAGCACGTCGTCCATGTTGCAGCGTCTGAAGAGAAAACACCCGCTGTGGCATTAAACTCGTCTGCAGCTGCAACAGGTATCGTTTATGTTCTCTTTGTACAATACGTTAACCTAAATGTGTGATAATCTGTCCTGTTATAAATGTAAAATGAGGCTTTTTTGTTGCTAACGTTAAATCTATTAATGCAGTCCTTCTCAAATAGTGGGGCACGCCTCCCAGGCGGGGCCCAGGTCAATGCCGGGGGGGGGGGGCATGTGATCCGGGGAACATGCATTTTTCGCCACAGGGAGTAGGTTGTTTTTTTGTTTTTTTTTCACCAATCTCATTTTGTCGCATGGGTTCCGGCAGCTGTTTGCTTGTGTCTCTCAGACTTACTATTAAAAAAGTTATGAACAAATAACTGTCTTGTCATTTTGGAAGCCATGCTTGAATCGTGTCGCTCCCCTCTTCGATTGAGACATACCATACCATTTTATTTATAGAGCACTTAAAACAGCTACAAGGCCAACCAAAGTGCTGTACAGACAAAACAACAGACAACACACAAAGCAACATACAAAATGAGGTAAATCAGAATATAGACATAAAAACGATGCAGATAATGATGACAAACCAGTGTGGAGCATACAGGTTCAAAACACAGATCATCTGGTGTTGAAAGCTACTGAATAGTAGTGAGTTTGTAAACGGGACTTGAAAACCGAGAGGGAGGGGGCCTGTCTGACAAGCAGAGGTAACTCGTTCCAAAGTCTTGGTCCTGCTACAGAGAAAGCCCTGTCACCTCTGCGCTTAAGACGAGCTCCTGGAACTGTGAGGAGCAACTGGTCCGCTGACCTCGGGAAACGTGGTGGGACATACGGTTGTAGCAGATCAGAGAGATGCCGGGGGGGGGGGGGGGGGGCGCAAAACTGTTCAGTGATTTGTAGACATACATGAGCATTTTGAACTGGATTCGAAAGTGAACCGGTAACCAGTGCAGTGAGGCCAAAACTGGTGTAATGTTCTCTCTTTTGCCTGTACTGGTTAAAAATCGGGCTGCTGCATTCTGGACCAGTTGTAGTCGTGCAATGGAGGTCTGACTGATACCAAACAGGAGCGAATTGCAGTAATCAAGCCTAGATGTAATGAATGCATGTATTACTGTCTCCAGGTTATTTTTGGACAATATGGGCTTCAGTTTAGACAGCTGCCTCAGTTGGAAGAAGCATGATTTAACAATCATGTTTACATGATTGTTAAATTTCAGGGAAGGGTCCATTATCACGCCCAGATTAGTGACTCTTTGTTTTTCTGACAGGGTTAGAGCGGAAAGGTCGATGCAGTGGTTTGTGATTGTGTCATTGGGATGGAACAACATGACTTCAGACTTCTTTTCATTGAAACAAGAAGTTTAAAGGCATCC